TACTGTAACTCAGAACAAGCGAGATGATCCAGGCATGCGACCAACAGTCGATATGAAGACTCTTCTGCATCACAGGATTGTGCAAGAGCTAGAATTTCCATTACTCAGAGTTCCCTCGTCGAAGAATGTGGTTCGAATCATTCGCGATGCGGCCAAAAGTGGGTTACTCTCCTTTCGACTTCGTCTCTCTCTTGAATTCTAACGCTGCAACTGTCTTTGTAGTCATCATTGCCGTGTTTGGTTCTAAATCTAAGCGACTGCACCGGGATGTCAGTGTGCTCAATATCATGACCGTTCAAATTGATGGAATACTTCGCGGAATATTGAATGATTGGGATCATAGTAAGAAGATGTTACCTGGCACTGACAGCAAGGCCTACCGGACGGTTCGTCAATCATAACTCATACTACATTCTAAACCATCTTGATTCTAACGTCTTTCAAACAGGGCACTTGGCTGTTTATATCTATCCTCCTCGCAAAGCAAGAACCCAAGGTCCATTCAATGTTGGATGACCTTGAATCCTGCTTGTGGGTTCTTCTCTATGTCGCCCTTCATCGGTTCAAACACAGTGCCGACCGCGTCGCTCTTCGTATGTTTGAGGAAATGGATAATAATCAGTGCGGTGGTGATAGAAAGTTCTTGTTCATCCTTGCACCAGCAATGAGTCATTTGCGACCCGACTCAAAACACATCATTGGAGACACACATGCTCGCACATCCTGAAGAATTCCTTGCCATGTTCGACGATGCGCTTGCGGCAGATGGTTGGATCGAAAATGACGCGGTTGGGGACAACTTCCCTCCACTCAACAATAACGACAAAGGGAAGCAAGCAGCAGAAACGGAAGCCAAGAAGAGAGTGCAAACTGCCAATTCCAAGCTTGTCGATGTCGTTCTACCAAAACAAGCTCCGAAACATGAAGGTCCTCGGGCTCCATCATCTTCTGGCACGTCTCACGCCGAGAACATTGTGGAACCACCCCCTGCACCTCAACCCAAAAGAACTACAAGAGCTTCTTCGAAACGTACGAAACCTGTCCCTCCCCCTTCTCCTCCCCCTTCCAATCCACCTCTCCCTCGTTACAACACTCGGCTGGCCTCTAAACGTGCTTTAGAGGATAATCACGATCAGAATGAAACTGGACGCGCCTCGAAGCGACAAAATACCAATTCCCGTCCACGAGCTGCGAGGAAACCAAAACCACTTCCTGAACTTGAAGCACGACCGCAGAAGAAAAACTTACGAAGAATCAAAAGTCAGGGAGATGTACTGGTAAATGGGGTTGATAATCGTGTTTTTGGACGAAAAAAGAAAGAGTAACTAAGAAATATCTGTTGTTTGTACACTACCATTTCTATCTTGTATTTCTTTTCTTTGTATCGTTCTTTCTTTTCTATCGGAATGTATTTTATCTCATCGATCTATCATACCATATTTAATATACCCTTCATTGTTTCTTCCTCGTCGTTTACCTCTATTCATTGGATCCACTGATCCGGACTCCAAACAACATCTTTCAGCAGCAGGGTATCTATTCGTATTCCTTGCAGTCATTCGTCATCTATTAATTGTGAACATCGCGTGACATCTAGTTATTTCCTCGTTGATATCATTCAAGATGACTCTGACGATTCTATGCGATGAATAGAAACTCCATATTATAACCCCGATTAAAACTGCAGACAGAACCGTACAAAAACAGTATCTATAGACGATGACAACGGTGCAGCATGATACTACTGCTTAGGTTTGGTAGGAGCAAAAGCTGTGTTCCATTGCTTCACTTGAGCAACAGGAACCTGACCACCCCGGCTCGTATTCGTAGCTGGAGCGGCATTTCTGGGAGGGGCTTGAGGAGGAGCTTGAGCAGAGGAACCCCCGTTCGCAGGATTAACAGCATCCGGTTTTGATCGAGTGATACCATAATACGTCTGTGGAGGCCCAATTGGAAGAGAAGTGGATGTTTGTCCGTTACTTCGAGGAGGAGGAGTGCTCGTTGATCCCTTTAAAAAACCGGGAGGTACTGGTTGTCCACCTTGCCTAGCCCGACGATAGAGTGTAGGAGCAGAGTAAGCATCATCTCGGGAGTAGATGTCCATCATTGGAGAAGCATAGTCTCTTCGGTATACTGAAGAAGGCTCGTAGTAATCTCTAGCGTAGAGATCTGAATACGCTGAATCGAATGACCGTGCGTTGAGTGATGGGCTATAGGATATAAAGGTAATTAGAATCATCAGTATGTATATAGAATGAATTTATGTTTACCTGTCGTATGAGCTTCTTCGGTATCGATACTGTCTTGGCTCAGGTGCACGACGAGCAAAAGTGCTGTATCTACAGAGAAGGAAGGTCGGCCAAAGCTCTCGGGTACATTTTAGCATGGATACTCACGATTCATCGTATGGTGCAGCGATCACGCTGCCGATAGCAGCGAGACTGAGGACAGCGAGAGCAGTGAAAGACTTCATCTTGTACTAGTCGTGTAAAGTCTATGGACGACTAGGAGTTAACGTTAATCCCTTCGAGTATAATGAGATTGAAGAATGAACCTACAATACTTGGGTTTGCGAGGTTCGTTAGGCTTGCGACAAGGAGCAAAAAAAAGCAAAAAGGATGACGAGGGGGGGAGTACGAAAACAGCTATGAGAAACAGTAAGCACGAGAAATACAAGTTTAGTGAATATGAAAGAAACCCACATGTCCAGCACCTGAACGAGAAAAGAGATGAATGAAAGGAGTGAACGAACTGTGCGTTACTGTAGAACCTGAGCTGAACATACCTCACCTTATATACCTCTTCGGATAATGCTCCTACCGAGTAAAGCCCAGCGTCGTGCTACGTTCTATCCTATACCGTGACTTTGCACGCTGCAAAAGAAGCTGAAAAATGTCCCAGATTTCATATTGATAGGCATTGATAGCCACACCATGCCGATGAAACCCATTTGCTTCGAGTTGCTGTTGGACGTGCTTGAGATTTGAGACTTGCTTGTATTTTGCACAGTGAGACAAACATCGGCTTCAAGAACAAATCTAGAAAGTGCTGACTTGAAAAGGCTGATGGCGAGATTCCATTAAGAGTTTTGAGACATTGAAGATTGAGCGTGTAAATTCGACTTGCAGAGGATGTCTTATACAAGGACGGAAACTATATCCTGGAAAGCGGGGAGGCGTGAGGATGGAACGTTTTTGTTATGGGATAATCAGGCCCGCTTAGAGTCAGTGAGTCACAAATTCGGAGACACACCTCGACATCGCCAGCAAGGCGTGTTCCATGACGATGCATGCAGCATGGTGCATAACGAAAGAAAGACAGTGTTTGTCATTTGACAAGTGGCAGAATCACAGACTTACAGTGCATTTACTACATCCGCTTGTGATTCAGTCAGCTGCTGCTTCTGCCAACCAACCCACAAGCTCTCGGGATAGACAGATTCATCCTCCCCTCCTCTAACTCTTCTAACACCTCCAACCTCAGAATCCATCACCTTATCAACGCCTTTCATCTTCTTCCCCTCTGGAGATGTCAGCACAACCTTTGGAACTTTCGGTTTCTTCTGCTTTCCTACCGGCGAGGGCTCTCCATCATGATTGCTTTTCTTTGATTTCTTCTTCGAACCTATGTTTCCGCGTTTGTTGATATGATTATGGTAAGGATAGAATCGATTGTGGAGAGAGCAACATGAAAGACTGACGGGATAATGATGATATCGATGTAACTCATCGAATCCTGAATTCCATCGAGGAGCCAACGAACCTCCATCTCTTCTCTTCATATGAATCCTCCCTCCACCACGTCCATTCCCGCCAGTATTGGTACTCGCAGATCCAGATCCAGATCCTCCACCAGGAGGAGGTTTCTTCGAATGATTCAAACCGAAGTTCAGGTTATCATGTCCTTGTCCTTGTCCTTGTGGTGCTGTTAATTCCTCAAGTTTTGACATCGCAACAATCCGTCTTTCTGCTTCCAATGAAGGTATGAGATTAGGCTCAAGAAAAGAGTTTCCAAATTTCTTGAGAGACTCTTTCAATTTCTCTTTCTTTGTCTTCTCGGGTCCTTTTGGTTCGTTAAGTTTGTTAGGTCCGTTGTTGTGATTGTTGTTATGATCGTTATTGTTTCGTCGAGAACCTCCAAGTCGACTTAAACCAGATCCTCGTCTTTCGACGTGTGGGTGATAGAAAGAATCGACATAACTACGAGGATCTCGCGTCCGCAAATGTGGTGATATGGGATGCACGACCGGGATGTAGCGACATTGAGCTTGAACTTGAGCGTTTGAACCCGAACTCACAGGTCTACAACAAATACGACATGCATGATATCAAAGTCAGTTATAGAAGAAAATTTGAGCGATTTGAACTTACAGAATACGTGCTGTGGCGCAAAGGGTGAACGCCGCAGATGATGCAATAGAAAGAACGACGAGTTTGAGAAGCGTATTTTGCCAGCAAAAACGCATGTTTGAATCTGTATGAAAATTGTATCGATAGATTGAATATGAAAAGCAGAGGTTAGCATCGCAATTCTCAACCACGATGAATCGAATATACCACCACTCACTGTGCTTATTCAAGAATCTTTGGTTGCAAAATAAGCACTCAATTTCTAACATTTATAACATATGACGATCAATGCAGAATCTTCGAATCTGTGTTGATGAGAAAAGAGAAGGTGTTTCATCGTCAATGCATCACACACCCTATCAAAGGGTCGTCAGCGCACGGTTGAATCCAAGCAAGTTTCGCGCTCTCACCATTTCCTTCAGCTACTGTTATATCGATGTATCAAGGGTTGAAAACTAATGAATCTAGTCTGAACGTCGCCGTGCTTCAGCGGGACCCTATTGATGTGATTTCTCCATGGATTTATGGCAAAGCCCCTGGAAATCAATTCAAATCTACGCAGATGACAACACTTGGACGTACCGATACCGACAATTTTCAACCATGTTGATCCAGGGCAAAAGAGAAGAAGTGGCACAAGAAGACATTTGACTCCCTGGCGGGGAGTCGAACCCCGCTTTCGCGCGACCATATCTCTTCTTCTTCATTGTGAATTAGCGATGACAGGCGCGTGTACTAGCCGATATACTACCAGGGACTTATTCTAGGCCTTTAAGACTATGATAATTGGGGGATGGCGAAAGGATTGGTAGCACCGTTCTTCAACTTTCGCTCGACATCCAGATTGTCAGCTGGACGATTTCATTGATCAGACAACATACCGACAGATGAGATGCCGAGCATGAAATGCCAAAGGAACATGCTACAAGAGCTTTACATCAGACCGAAAACAACGAATTCCTCATGAACAAAACTTACCAAGACTGACATCCGCTCCGCCTACGTAGTAGATCGTCTCTTGAATGTATATTCAAAACATCATCCGCATTTCTTCAACTCCAAGTTCAGTAGGATTGTTCCACCGTACGTATCGTCCTTGCGTTCAGCGGCGAGAACGACTGGCCGAGATATAGCTTTAAGTAGACCCGGTACTTGAAGTTGGCGTCAGGTAGGTATCTTCAAATTTCTGGTACGGTATGGGTCCGACGAGGTGCTGAAGCATCTCGGGAAGGTGAAAATGAAAACCTGACTGAGTGTTGCTGGCCTGCTCCGAGTCGTTGTTTAAATACGGATGATCGAGGTCATGCTGCGCAATCTTTGGACAAAGGAAACATGTAACCGTATGAAAAGGGGTTGAATCACCGAAGAACCATACCATGTTTCTCAGTCACTTACATCGTTAATATTCTTCTAGGGATACTTTCTACGGTTTAAATATCCGTTCGGAGGACGAGCTCCAGTCAACTTGATAAAAATCTGTGGGCCATTAAGGATGTGCATTTCCTAGACAAAAAAAAGATAACTCACGATACGCTCAGAGCAAACTCGGAGTTCGAGACAGGTTGCGCGACTGTGAACTCAAGCTTGTCTTTGAACTCTTACTTTCTAAACCCATTTTGATTCCAAAGGTTGCAGGAAATGGTGTTGTTTTGGTGCTTTTTATTTATTCGTGAGGTTCGTGACTCTGCTTGCGACCAGATGAAATCGTGTTGTATGTAGTTAAGTAGTAGGTGGGGAAATATCTTGAAGTTCGACTTTGAATTTCAAGATCGAATTCGCAAGCACGGTCAGGTGATCTCATTATATAATGATTGAAGCGCTTAATGAGGAGTATCGTGCAGCGGCCTGAGATTGCTTTCTCCTCACCGTCTTTCACATCGAGCAAGCCTCTGTCCGGCCCCTCCTCGACCATGGAGGAACAAAAGGTACCCGTCTTCGACAAAGTGTACTATGCAATGGCTCCTACTATTCCCTCTCATTACAATCATCTTCTTTGTCAATTTCTCAACGCGAACGGCGCGACATCTGTGTCCTCGACAGCTCCATCCCTCACTCATTTCATCACGAACACACTCCCGTCTCTGGACTCTATCGACTCTTTTGACCCAAAGAGAGAAGGAGTCTACCTTGTCACACCTCAGTGGGTCGAGCGTTCTTTGGTACTAGGCGAACCTCAAGAACCCACGTACTACTCTCCAGATCCCTCGAAACTCTTCAGTGGCGTTGTTGCAACTTCGGAAGGACTGTCCCAAACGGACACCGAAATTCTCTCTGCTGGAATAACGGCTCTTGGAGGACAATGGAGGACGGCTTTGACGAAAGAAGTCACTCATTTATTCACACTCGGCTCTGGAACTCTCAAGTACGAGACCGCGTTGTGTTACAAGGACAGCATGGGCATGAAGGTCCTTGTACCTCACTGGTTTGACGATTCGGTTAGGCTGGGTTTTAGAGGGTTGAAGACGGAACCATATGAATGGCCAGATCCAAAGGTGTTCAAGAATGGGTGGGATGGGTCGGCAGAGCAACAGGAAGGTGAGAGGGGACAAATTCCTCTAACTCATTTCGAAGATAAGAAAGACGTTTTGTATGACACGCTACTCGACCCTCCAGAGGAAGCTCTTCAGACACCTTCTATTGGCACACGGGTTTGGAAAGGAAAATCACTGTTACTCACCTCTACACTCGATCTTTCACGCGGGCAGAGGTTGGCACACGAAGCTGATATAGAACGTGAAGGTGGCGAGGTGTTGAGGTGGTCTACGGCTGGGGAGGAGGCAGAAGCGGCAACGCGTGCGGATATCATCATCACGAGATACCGGAGTGGATTGTCTTTTGTGAATGTACGTCGCGTTGTTGGCTTCTTTCAAGTTCTTTCTCACTGAGACTTGATATGTAGGGTTACAAACTGCAAAAAATCATTGGAACCTTACCATGGCTTTGGTATGTTCGGTCGACTGGTGTCATGACGCGTCCAGAGGATCAACTACTACATTATCCAATCCCTCGCAAACCTGTTGAAGGCTTCCCAAATCACGTACGTCTGTTATGCAAACGTCTCACTTTTTTTTTTTTTGCAACTTACTTACCAGAAGTTAGGTCATAACCATCACGAATTATACTGGTCGCGATCGCGAATACCTCAAGAAACTGATCACCACTCTCGGAGCAGAGTTCACACCTAGTATGAGTGGTAGGAACACGGTTCTGGTTGCTGCATAGTAAGTTTTCAATGAATACTTGATCTCATATCTTTCTCATATCATTACAGTATTAATGGCACGAAGACGACAAAAGCGAGGTCGTGGGCTATTCCTATTGTCAACCACCTCTGGTTGGAAGATACGTTTGCTCAATGGCGAACCGCGTCTCTTTCCGAAGCAAAGTGAGTACTTCTGTTTCATCGGTATGATCATATGAACTGACGCGATTCTCAAGGTACAACTACTATCAACAGAATGTCGACTTTAGCCCTCTGGTCGCTTCCCGTGGAATCAAACCCATCTTCGACGATTCAGAACTAGAAGCAATGGCTAATGAAGAAGCCACACCGGCTCCTGATTTTAACGAGGCTGTTGAAAACCCCGCAAAGTCCAGCTCTGAAGGCGAAGGCTCTGTTGTACCGAATGGTCATCCACCGTTGACGGGCGCTAGTTCCAAGGAGGTCGAAGATGCGGTCATGGTTGACGGTGACGACGACGTGGATATGGCCGCAGACGTCAATTTCCAAGATGACGACGACGCGATCGTTATCGATGTCGACGTTCAACAGAAGTCGACCAGGAAGTTTGGACCTCCATCGAAAAAGGTGCAGTCGAAGAAACCTCAAGAAGCATCATCCCCCGTAACAAGACTGAAAGGAAAAGGTCATGCTCAGGTACCCTCAGACAATGAAGATGAAGTTCAAGCGGAAAAACCTAGGGCAACGAAGAAGAGAGCCCCTTCTTTATCGCCATCGCGTTCAAAGTCTCCAATTCCCAATCCAACCACCAAACGAAAGGCCAAACCCCGAATTCCGTCCTTATCTCCTTCTCGTTCATTCACCCCACCTCGAAAAAGTAAAGCGAAGAAAACTATAGCTCAACTTCCACCTTCTTCTCCGTTATCCTCAACTCCATCTTCACCTCTTCTAGGTCCTTCGAAAAAAGGAAAACAACGCGCCGTTTCACCACTTCCGACGGTTTCCAAGAAGACTCGAAAGCAAGTTCTTGAAGAAAGTGATGACGAGGTTGAGTTCGTTGATGAGCCTGTTCCTTCGAAGAAACGTGGTGCTACGACGACGGCGAAGAACAAGAAGCCTTCTACGTCGCGACCGGATGATAAGAAGGGGAAAGGAACAAAAGCTGTACCCGAGGCTGCGGAGGAAGAGGAGGAAGAAGAAGAAGAAGAAGAGGAACCAGTTCGTGGTCGAGCTCGTGGTCGGCCTCGAGGTGGAGGAGGGAGAAGTGTGAGTAGGGGAAGAGTCGATGAGAGCAGTAAGCGTCGAACTAGGAGTATGAGCAGAGCGAGGAACGCATTGGTCGAAGATGGTGAAGATGATTCTGGAGCTGAAGGTGGTAGAGGAAAGAGGAAAGAAGAGGAGGAAGAAGCGCCACTAACTAGGAAGAAAGCTCGGAACGCAAATCGTCCAACGAAGAAGGCCTCTGAGCAAGTCACTCGAACGCCTGCTCGGTCTTCGAAAGGGAAGAAGGTCGCCCCTGCTGATTCCGATATCGAGATGGTAGATGAAGAGGAGGAGTTGCCGAAGAAGGTGAAGAGTCCGGTCAAAACGTACACGTCCTCTTCGAAGAAGGCCAAGGTTTCAGCTCGTCATGTTGAGGATACGGATGATGAAAACGAAGAAACCCCAGAACCTATTCCTCCTCCGAAAACCTCGACTTCGAAAACCAAGAAACAGGACTCGGCATCTCCCCAGAAACGCCTAGCGAGGGTTGGTTCCGTGCGTGGTGAAGGCAAGGAAAAGGCTACCCCTTCAACGCGTGCTAAACCAATCCCGACGACGACTTCATCGAGAAAACGACGCCCAACATCTGAGGACGGAGAAGAAGAAGCGGACGACAGTCAAGATTCACCTTTACCTCCACCTCCACCTAAGAAACGTGGTCCTCCTGTGACTTCTGCGTCGAAGAGCAAACCCCAGGAGCAATCAGTCACGAAGACACCTGCTCGAAAGAATGCAGCTAAATCTCATACGCCCAATGTTGATTCTGGTCTCATCACGCCAGATCGTACCTCAGCTCTGAAGACTCCTGGGACACTCCAACGGACACCTTCTAAACGTTCTGCAGCATCCAAAGCTAATCAAAAGCTTCATGATGTGATCATGCCGGACATGAATCTCTTCCAGAACCAGTTGAAGAAGGGTGTTGTGAAAGGAACTTGGGAAGGCCAAGTGTCGGGACTTCATGCTTCTGGCTCTGGAGAGCACGCCTCTAAAGGCAGGAAGCGAGCATCTATGAGTAACGACGGGGATGGTGATGTTGATATGGAGGGTGGTGAAGATGAAGATGACTTGAGGGAGAAGAAGAAGAGGCGACTCAGCAGCGTTGCATCGACTGCGAAGGGCAAGAAGAAAGCCGTAGTTCAAGAAGAGGACAGTGATGATGACGATGGCGCCAGCGTTGTCTCAAGAAGGTCGTCGCGATCCAAGTGAGTTCTTTCTGTTAACTTTTCATGGTTTGAGAACTCACCGTTGTATACGTTCTTAGCATTGCATTGAGCGTGAAGGAACCAAAAGCAATTAAGATCATGACAACA